TCAAGCGATTAGGAGCAGGAGCGCGTCATTGAGGAAGGGCAAGTAGCCCACTGTTCCCGCCTTTACGATCAGCGTAGACTGTATCTTTGGATGTGCTCATGAGAAGTGTTCTCACCATCAGGTTAAGTTGGTGTAGCAGCAAATAGCAGCGCTTACCATGTGTTAAAGAATGGTGTGGGGCAAACCCTTAATCCAATCCCAGCCAGACTAATCATGTTTATCCTTTGTCCGCTTTCAATCTTGGCAACATGCCGGATCTCTTGCAATTTGTTGGGGAGGGGGCTTTTCCTTATAACAAATGGGTTGTTTGGCAGCCTGGTAGGTGGAATATGTAGGTCGCCAAAAACAGGCCTAGTCTTTGGCTAGAAAGCTAGGAAAGGGGAAAGCGAGAACACAGTGGTATCCTGCCTGACCAACATTTTTCATCCACCCCAAAGCATACAGTTCTAAGAATTCCACCGTCAGTCTTGCTTGCGTCTATCGAGTTGAAGAGCAACGAAGTTGACGCACCCACCAAGCTGGAATTCGGAGGTTGTCTGACACTTTTGAAAATAGTAGTGGTAGGCAGGGCTCGTCGTACGCTTTGGATCACCAAGGAGGGAGGGGAATGTGGCAAGAGAATCGTAGTTCGCTGGCAGTGGACGTCGCGTCCGCTAATGACGACGATTTCAGGTGGTATTGGTGAAAACAGACAATGTTTACCAAAAATAGGCATAAGTGAATACCATTTCCTTGTCTACGTGAAATTCGATGCTCTAATCGAAAGGGCATTGAAAATTAAGGAAACGTCGCGCCCATTGTCGCGCGCGATGAAGCGGTAATTTAGGATTCCCTTGCTCCCCACCAAGGGGGTCGTACTAGGCGTGGGAGATACTCTTCTGATGAAGCTGCTACTTCCTTTAGTTGGGACCTGTCCCTCTCAATCTCTTCCCCCCCCCCCTCCTCCCCACCCCTCCCATTGCCAGTCGACGGTGAAGTTTTGGGGAATTTCAGTAAGATGATAGGTGGGACGGGAAGAGGATCCAATCGGAGAAGAAAATTTGGGGAAGGAGTCGTATTCGGCAGAGCTTCTCCGCAAAGTCCAGACGTGTTCTGATGGTGGCGACCACTGCTCTCCCGCTCTGGCTTTAGGAACACATCCTGCCCGTGGAGAAACTCTTACAAAATACGACCCCACCTCCTCTTGTTTTTCTTCCACTGCGTCCCCCTTTTACATCCTACACACTATCTCCCATTGTTTTCTCAACTTCCTAACAGTTTTCCGGAAAAATCTCCAGTTGCTCCAGTATTCTCTCAAGAAAGCGCCATCGCGCGTGAAATTGGTGGGAGAGGGGTAGAGCGCATGTTGAACGGGAAAACATAGAAAAGTCAAACAGCCGGAAACATGATTGTCGGAAGCGAGTATGACCCTTTCCTCAAGAACCCGACTACGACCCTCCCACGCCGGTGGGCCCCAACTTATGACGTGATCAAGCCGGCCATTCCTTCCCTCGACGCAGTCTTTATACTTGTCGTCCTGTTAGGTTCTTTGGTTGTTTGTCTAAAAGTTTTGCGTTTCCTTCTGATTTTCATTGTTCCAGTAGTTCTGATATTGAATCAATAATTCAAATCAAATTAAATTTAGATTCAAAAAATTAAATCCCTAAGAGATTTTCTCATTTTTATCTAGTTCCTTTTCAGATGCATTCAACCATCGATGCAATTGATCTCACAAGCACTTCGTAATCACCTTATCATTCCAAGCTGGGGAGAATTTTGCGCTCAAGTCAAGGCCATATTTGAAGAGGTCAAAGTTCATTGGCATCTACCGGTTTCAGGCTTGAAATAGCGCGGTTTTTTTCAGTGCAAACATGTCAAAGATGGCAATGTGGCCACGTATATTCCCCAGTTGGCTCGTCAGAACCCAGAGATCTGGGGTGTCTCCATTTGCAGCATTGATGGCCAACGGGTCTCTTTTGGCGATTCCAAAGTTCCGTTCTGTGTGCAAAGTGTGTCGAAGGTACGTTGCTTATTGTGGGCGCTATGCTTCCTTGGGAGGTGCAGCACTGCAGTTTTGCGTCAGCGTTATAGTATACCGCAATTTGAATGGGATGAAGCCCCGCGGTGGGGAGCTACAGTAACTATTGAAAAACTGACATGGGGAAACGGCGCTGAAGCTCCCTTCTTAGGGTACAGCATCCTCAGGAGAAGCCCATCAAGGGATAAATGCGGGGGTGGGGTCGTCCTTGAACGCTAATTCTTCCTACCCACCCCTAGGGTTGAGATAAAATTAGTAGTTGACTAGTGACAATTCGACTAGCGGCTATCTTCCATCCCCCTCCCCCCCCTCCCCTTCGCTCAACGGCTGTCTCTTCGAGGTGAGGAGGGGGAGTGGGAAAATTTTTGGAAAAATGGTACAAAGTAGGGAAAGCATAGGAAGATGGTAGGTTAGTCGGGGAAGACGATTGTATCAGATGTGGAAATTTGGGAGCGTGGGGAGGATGGTCGCTCTTATACCGTCATTCCATACACACACAACGAATCCCATC